TATGACAAGTAGCAAGGGAGATCTTTAAAAATAGTGTGTGTGTGTGGGGGGGGGGGGCAAATATTGAATTGCAATTTAAATATGGGAATTTTAAGCAGGTGCAGACTCAGACGTCACCAGGAGCGGAAGTCAGTGATTAAGCAGGTGCAGACTCAGACGTCACAAGGAGCAGAAGTCAGTGATAAAGCAGGTGCAGACTCAGACGTCACAAGGAGCAGAAGTCAGTGATTAAGCAGGTGCAGACTCAGACGTCACAAGGAGTAGAAGTCAGTTATAAAGCTGGTGCAGACTCAGACGTCACAAGGAGCAGAAGTCAGTGATTAAGCAGGTGCAGACTCAGACGTCTCAAGAAGCAGAAGTCAGTGATAAAGCAGGTGCAGACTCAGACGTCACCAGGAGCAGAAGTCAGTGATTAAGCAGGTGCAGACTCAGACTCACCAGTTGCGGAAGTCAGTGATTAAGTAAGATGACAAAGTCAAAGACAAACCCAGGCGTCGCGTTCAAGGCACTGATTCCAGGCATGCGTCTTTAACTGTGTTGTAATACTGTCAATGTCATGTAGGCTGTCATGTAGGCTGTCGTGTAGACTGTCATGTAAGCTGTCGTGTATACTGTAACGTAAGTGGTGATGTGGGCTGTCATGTTGGATATCATGTAGGCTGTCATGTAGGCTGTCTTTTAACTCCAATAAACAGGCAGGCAAGTAGCTCTAACAAAATAACTTTAGTTTCTTTTATTTAATTTATTATTATTGTTATTTTTATTATTTAAAAAAAAAACAACAACTAAACACAATATTCAACGTGTTAATTAAAATGTGTTGATCAGACAATAATTTCACATTTTATCACTCGACAATAATTTCACATTTTATTCACTAGACAATAATAACATGTTTTATTCACCAGGAAATAGTATCAAATAATAAAATCACGTTTTATTCACCTGACAATAAAATCACATTTTATTCACCTTGCAACAAAATTACATTTTATTCACCAGACAATAAAATCACATTTTATTTACCAGACAATAAAATCACATTTTATTCACCTTGCAACAAAATCACATTTTATTCACCAGACAATAAAATCACATTTTATTCACCAGACAATAAAATCATATTTGATTCACCTTGCAACAAAATCACATTTTATTCACCTTGCAACAAAATCACATTTTATTCACCAGACAATAAAATCACATTTTATTCACCAGACAATAAAATCACATTTTATTCACCTTGCAACAAAATCACATTTTATTCACCAGACAATAAAATCACATTTTATTCACCAGAAATAAAATCACATTTTATTCACCAGATAATAAAATCACATTTCATTCACCAGACAATAAAATCACATTTTATTCACCAGAAAATAAAATCACAATTTATTCACCAGACAATAAAATCACATTTTATTCACCTTGCAACAAAATCACATTTTATTCACCAGACAATAAAATCACATTTTATTCACCTTGCAACAAAATCACATTTTATTCACCTTGCAACTAAATCACATTTTATTCACCAGACAATAACATCACATTTTATTCACCAGAAAATAAAATCACATTTTATTCACCAGACAATAAAATCATATTTTATTCACCTTGCAACAAAATCACATTTTATTCACCAGACAATAAAATCACATTTTATTCACCTTGCAACAAAATCACATTTTATTCACCAAACAATAAAATCACATTTTATTCACCTTGCAACAAAATCACATTTTATTCACCAGACAATAAAATCACATTTTATTCACCTTGCAACAAAATCACATTTTATTCACCTTGCAACAAAATCACATTTTATTCACCAGACAATAACATCACATTTTATTCACCAGACAATAAAATCACATTTTATTCACCAGCCAATAAAATCATATTTTATTCACCTTGCAACAAAATCACATTTTATTCACCAGACAATAAAATCACATTTTATTCACCAGACAATAAAATCACATTTTATTCACCAGACAATAAAATCACATTTTATTCATTTTGCAACAAAATCACATTTTATTCACCAGACAATAAAATCACATTTTATTCACCTTGCAACAAAATCACATTTTATTCACCTTGCAACAAAATCACATTTTATTCACCAGACAATAACATCACATTTTATTCACCTTGCAACAAAATCACATTTTATTCACCTTGCAACAAAATCACATTTTATTCACCTGACAATAAAATCACATTTTATTCACTAGACAATAGCATCACATTTTATTCACTTTCTAAGAAGAAATAAATCAATAAAATTATGATTTTAAACTGTCACATCATGAGGCGAAGCGACTTCATCAAATGAATCGAAATGACTTAAGAAAAATGCCTGTTCACGTGAAATGTGTGACGGTATTAAACCAGAGGTTCTCAAACTTTTTGTTGAATCGCAACCAGGGTTTCCAGCCATCCGTGAAATTTACCGACCGTCCTTAAAAATTTGTTCTGACATGACTTGTCGGAGAAGTCCTTAAGAACCTTAGGTTTTCCGTAAAATCAGTCACTGTAATATCATCTTTTGAATGAGACATTGTAATATCATCTTTTGAATGAGACATTGTAAATTGTAATTTTTGTAATATCATCTTTTGAATGAGACCTTGTAACATGGGCACCCGCAGAAAACTTTCTAGGGGGGGGGGCAAAAAATCGATTAACTTTCCAGGGGGGGGGGGCAAAAAATTATTAGTAATGTTTTAATATAGTTTTAATTTACTGTATCGTATTTGTATGGTGAACGAACGGACAGGACATCAGCTTAGTTACTTTCTCTTTATTTTCTCTTTACTTTAATACATTTTTTGTCTATTTTTGTCTAAATTTTTTTTATCCAATCAATCCAGAGGGGGGGGGGGCAAGTGCCCCACCTTGCCCCTACCTTCGGGCGCCCATGCCTTGTAATATCATCTTTTGAATGAGACATTGTAATATCATCTTTGAATGAGACATTGTAATATCATCTTTTGAATGAGACTTTGTAATATCATCTTTGTATGAGACATTGTGCTATCATCTTTTGAATGAGACATTGTAATATCATCTTTTGAATGAGACATTGTGCTATCATCTTTTGAATGAGACATTGTAATATCATCTTTGTATGAGACATTGTGCTATCATCTTTTGAATGAGACATTGTGCTATCATCTTTTGAATGAGACATTGTAATATCATCTTTGTATGAGACATTGTGCTATCATCTTTTGAATGAGACTTTGTAATATCATCTTTGAATGAGACATTGTGCTATCATCTTTTGAATGAGACATTGTAATATCATCTTTTGAATGAGACATTGTGCTATCATCTTTTGAATGAGACTTTGTAATATCATCTTTGAATGAGACATTGTGCTATCATCTTTTGAATGAGACATTGTAATATCATCTTTTGAATGAGACATTGTGCTATCATCTTTTGAATGAGACTTTGTAATATCATCTTTGAATGAGACATTGTGCTATCATCTTTTGAATGAGACATTGTAATATCATCTTTTGTATGAGACATTGTGCTATCCTCTTTTGAATGAGACATTGTAATATCATCTTTTGTATGAGGCATTGTGCTATCATCTTTTGAATGAGACATTGTAATATCATCTTTTGTATGAGACATTGTGCTATCATCTTTTGAATGAGACATTGTAATATCATCTTTTGTATGAGACATTGTGCTATCATCTTTTGAATGAGACATTGTAATATCATCTTTTGAATGAGACATTCTTAGAACACCCTTCGAAGCTTAAGCGGAAGATATCATCTTTGTCGTTGCTACTTTTTTTTTTTTTTACACTGGCATGATTGTTAATCAGGAGAAATTCACCACTCATAAGTCACGAGAATTCTTTAAAATAAACTAACATATCACTAGGATCGGGCCTAAATATTCTTTGTAATTACATAGTCATAACAACACACCCGTACTGACCTGAACTTCTGTAAGCGTCAGAGTTTTAACAAGTTTATTTTAAATTGTGTCTGTTAATAAACATTATTCCATTAAAAGTCGTAGAGTTAAAATAACAAATGTCTGTAAATTATATTTCATTGAGTTAACAACCCTCGTAAAAAAAAATTAAAAAAAAAAAAATATATATATATATATAATTTTTTACAGAAGCCAAGTAGTCCATAACCCCTGACACACTACGAGACATCTTTACGTAAATGACAAACACACAGAAAATATAAAATGGTTTTACAAAATCATTTAAACTTTATCGTGACACGAATACAGCATAAAAATGACTAAGAATGTCTTTTTTCCCCCCTTTCTAGTTTACTTGTAGAACCGTCGAGCTCATCCGAACAAAAACAACAACCCACAACCCCATTTGGGTTGCCGACCCCCAAGGTTTGAGAACCATGGTATTGAACTGAAGAGGGCAATGAAACATCACAGCCTTACTTTAGGGCGTGGGATTGGATGTTCAGGCATTCCGCTATTTTCGTCTCGGCATCAGCCCGCTTGGATGTGGAGCGGCGTCTGCAAGTAGCGGGCTATCGATCCCTGCGTTCCTCCCAACGTCTGCTAAAGATACCCACCTCGTCTGCACGGCCCGCTACTCTCGCTCTCTCTCTCTTCCACGTCATTATCATAAAAAATTCCTACTTGTTGTACCAGCGCGCGTGCTGTCAGGCTGGATAACCGTGTTCAGCAGACGTCATCTAGCTGACTGTAGGGGCGCTCTAGTATTGTTACCCCATGTTTTTTTTCTTCCTCCAGTGATGGCAGCTGGTGTTTCTATCTATCAATCAGTGGATGTTTGTTTACCAGAGGTGTTGTATTGTTTGTGTTGGTCACGGTCCGATGACGTGTACCTTTGTGTTCTGATTCTCGCATCGTAGGACACGGTGTGTGGTGAGGAATTTCATTCTAGCTTGGCAACGGAACGCAGCAAAATTACCAGCGAGTGTGTGTGCGCCCCGGACGAGGGGGAATTGTCACCAGTCTCCATGTTGTTACGTACACAAATGGGGGGTCTCGAGTTCTACGACGCAGTGCTCAACAACGACTTGCAGCAGCTCAAGCGGCTCGTCGCCCAGCACAAGCTCGACCTCAACGGAAAGTTTCTCGAGGTAAGACGTAAGAACGACGCCGGGCTGTGCCCCATCCACCTGGCGTCGTACAGGGGCCACACCTACATGTTGCAATATCTGATTGAGGCGAAGTGTGACGTCAACCACACGACGGGGACGCTACGACGAACAGCCCTGCATTTCGCCGTCCAGAGCCACAAGATGGCGTGCATGCTGTTGCTTATAGGAGCAGGAGCCAAACTGGACGCCAAGGACACCTTCGGCAACTCCCCGTGCCATTACGCGGCGGACGACGGCTACTGCCAGATCCTCGACGTGCTCATCCGACGCGGGGTCAACGTCAACAGCCAGGACATCACGTCGAAAACACCGCTCATGAAAGCCGTGAGAAACAACAAAACGGACGCCGTGCTGCGTTTGCTGAGAGCCAGCGCAGATCTCAATATAACGGATAGAAACTGCGACATGGCCTTGCACTACGCGGCCAGAAACGGATGTGTTGACATTAGTGATATTTTGCTGTCCGCCGGAAGTTTGATCAACGTTCAGAACTATTGGGGCAGGAGTCCCCTCATGGAGGCGGTCTGCTACAACCACAAGGAAGTCGTCCAGCTTCTGCTCGGCGCCAGCTGCGACGTGAATCGCAGGGAGTTCAAAACGGGCGACACCGCCTTGCACATCGCCATCAAACGTAACTACACGCGGGTCGTGGAGCTTCTCCTGGCGGCCGGAAGTCGACACGACGTCTACAATCACCAGGGAGAGACGGCGGTGCACGACGCCGTTGCCGGGAACAAGATGGACATCACGTGGCTGCTCCTCGTCTACAACGTTGACCTGGACGTTCCGGTCAAGTATTTCCCCAACGGGATCTATAAATCGGTGTTCAAGTTGGCCGCAGAGCGGGGCCATTATAAACTGTGCCGGCTCCTGGCGACCATCGGCTATCTGGACTACTCGGCAAGGATGTACTTTTACGCTGGGTATGTCCAGGCCAGGCCAGGCGAGCAGGACGAGGCGCTGCTGTGGCTGAGGACTGCCATGAAGAGAGTGGTCCCCCTTCAGCAGCTGTGTAGAAAGGTCATCCGGCGCCACGCAGGTCATAACCTCTGGGAGAAAGTCGAGTTGCTGCCCGTGCCTAGAGCCCTCAAGGACTATGTCCTCATGAAGGACGTGCTGGAACATAAGAACGAAAGTGTTGTATAGAACGGTGCTCCTCAAACTGGGATACAGGCGCCCTCGGTTGGGGTTGAGTTTGTTCTGCGCCAAACACCCTGACTTACCCTGGGTGTGGCATTATTGCATCAGTAGTTCTGGGGGTGCCTTTGTTATATCAGTAGTTCTGGGGGTGCCATTGTTATATCAGTAGTTCTGGGGGGGGGTGCCATTGTTATATCAGTAGTTCTGGGGGTGCAATTGTTATATCAGTAGTTATGGGGGTGCAATTGTTATATCAATAGTTGTGGGGGTGCCATTGTTATATCAGTAGTTCTGGGGGTGCAATTGTTATATCAGTAGTTATGGGGGTGCCATTGTTATATCAGTAGTTATGGGGGTGCCATTGTTATATCAGTAGTTATGGGGGTGCCATTGTTATATCAATAGTGCTGAAAGAGAAAAAGTGGTGGGGGCAGATTTTATGGGAGACAAAGCGATTGAAAAGTCATCCCTACTTTTTTAAAAATCCACTGGGTTCAAGAGGTTGAGAAGCACTGACTGTTTAAACGAGAAGATGTTGTTTTATTTGTTAAAAACATGTACTTATAAGGACGATGTATAATGGCACTAGGACTACACACTACTTGACTACAGATGTAGTTGGACGATGTATAGTATAATGGTACTAGGACTACACACCACTTGACTACAGATGTAGTTGGACGATGTATAATGGTACTAGGACTACACACTACTTGACTACACATGTAGTTTGACATGTATAATGGTACTAGGACTACACACTACTTGATGACTACACATGTAGTTGGACGATGTAATAATGGTACATGGACTACACACTACTTAACGACTACACATGTAGTTGGCATAACGAATATGTCATGCCCTGAAGCAAAATCTTAATATGCTATTGAATGGAAAGCGTTCTCTGTTAAAGTCTATTTGCGAAACAATTTTGTTCTGCCTCCTTGTGTCGCCATTTTCTACCGAGGTTACCCAGGATTCATCTGTGTTCCCGAGATTACCAATGATTCACCTGTGTTCCCGGTCATTTGTTTTGGAAAAAATTAAAGGGAGCATGTTCTGTTAAAATAAAAAAAAATTAGAATCACCTTTGTGTTTGATGTGGGAACTTGCTGACATGCTGTATTAGAGGAGGGGTAGACTCAGCTCAATTCACTTATGAATACCCTACACACTTCCCTAGAAATATATTCACGATTTTTATGAATGGTAAAAACATTTGTAAGAGTGAACAACAAGCAGGGTAAACTGAAGAGGAGTTCCTTATCAAATGTGGCCATCTTTAACTCTTGACAGAAGTTCCTTGTCATAGTCATGGTAATCTCAGCCAAATCTGGCCATATTTAACTCTTGACAGAAGTTCCTTGTCAAATGTGGCCATCTTTAACTCTTGACAGAAGTTCCTTGTCAAATGTGGCCATCTTTAACTCTTGACAGAAGTTCCTTGTTATGGTAATCTCAGTCAAATGTGGCCATCTTCAACTCTTGACAGAAGTTCCTTGTCATGGTAATCTCAGTCAAATGTGGCCATCTTTAACTCTTGAAAGAAGTTCCTTGTCAAATGTGGCCATCTTTAACTCTTGACAGAAGTTCCTTGTCATGGTAATCTCAGTCAAATGTGGCCATCTTTAACTCTTGACAGAAGTTCCTTGTCATGGTAATCTCAGTCAAATGTGGCCATCTTTAACTCTTGACAGAAGTTCCTTGTCATGGTAATCTCAGTCAAATGTGGCCATCTTTAACTCTTGACAGAAGTTCCTTGTCAAATGTGGTCATCTTTAACTCACGACAGAAGTTCCTTGTCATAGTAATCTCAGTGAAATGTGGCCATCTTTAACTCTTGACAGAAGTTCCTTGTCATGGTAATCTCATTCAAACGTGACCACCTTTCACTCATGACATGAGTTCCTTGTCATGGTTATCTCAGTCAAATGTGGCAACCATTAAATCTTGACTGCAGTTCATTATCTTGGTAATATCAGTCAAATGTGGCCATCTTTAACTCTTGAGATCATAAATCATTTATTGCAAGAAGCTTTTGACAAATGACATTTAACGTAAAGTAACAATCACATGGCAGTAAAAAAAATTAACCATGGACAGCATAATAGGAACTTGTGGTAATAAGACACGCACACAAGTAATCACAACAATAACCTAAAGTAATCATGAAAAAACATAGGTAATCATGACAAAACATAAGTGATCATGACAAAACATAAATAATCATGACAAAACTTAAGTGATCATAACAAAACATAGGTAATCATGACAAAACATAAATAATCATGACAAAACTTAAGTGATCATGACAAGAATTTAAAGAAATCAAGACTAGTGCTTAAGGTAATAAGGATAAAAACATGAATTAAGCATGACCCTTAACAAGACTCCTATCAAGTAATTGAAAAAATGAATCTACTTTGCGTTCAAAACATAAAAAAATTACTTAAAACCAATTAGAATATGAGAGTGTTCTGATGCCACCTTCAAGACAGACTTCCCACTGTGAGTGTAGAGTTGTCTCCCACTGTGAGTGTAGAGTTGTCTCCCACTGAGAGTGTAGAGTTGTCTCCCACTGTAAGTGTAGAGTTGTCTCCCACTGTAAGTGTAGAGTTGTCTCCCACTGTAAGTGTAGAGTTGTCTCCCACTGTAAGTGTAGGGTTTTCTCCCACTGTAAGTGTAGGGTTGTCTCCCACTGTAAGTGTAGGGTTGTCTCCCACTGTTAGTTTACAGTTATCTCCCACTGTAAGTGTAGAGTTGTCTCCCACTGTGAGTGTAGAGTTGTCTCCCACTGTTAGTGTAGAGTTGCCTCCCACTGTAAGTGTAGAGTTGTCTCCTACTAAGTGTAAGGTTGCCTCTGACTGTAAGTGTAGAGTTGTCTCCCTAAGGGTAAGTGTAGAGTTGTCTCCCATCGTAAGTGTAGGTTTGTCTCCAACTGTTAGTCTGGAGTTGCCTCCCACTGAAAGTGTAGGATTGTCTCCCACTGTAAGTGTAGGAAGGTAAATCTCAATGTTCTTTGAGTCATTCTTTGTCCGAATGACAGTCAGTATAGGACAGTCAGTATAGGACAGTCTGTATAGGACAGTCAGTATATGCCAATCAGTATAGGACAGTCAGTATAGGTCAATTAGTATAGAACAGTCAGTAAAGGTCAATCAGTACAGGACAGTCAGTATAGGTCAACCACTATAGGACAGTCAGTATAAGACAGTCAGTTTAGGTCAATCACTATAGAATAGTCAGTAAAGATCAATCAGTAAAGGACAGTCAGAATAGATCAATCACTATAGGATAGTCAGTATAGATCAATCAGTATAGGACAGTCAGTATAGATCAATGAGTATAGGACAGTCAGAATAGGTCAAGCAGTACAGGACAGTCAGAATAGATCAATCAGTATAGGACAGTCATAATAGGTCAATCAGTACAGGACAGTCAGAATAGATCAATCAGTATAGGACAGTAAGAATAGGTCAATCAGTACAGGACAGTCAGAATAGATCAATCAGTAAAGGACAGTCAGAATAGGTCAATCAGTATAGGACAGTCAGAATAGATCAATCAGTATAGGACAGTCAGAATAGGTCAATCTGTATAGGAGCCAAAATGATCAATAAATTGATCGTGGGCCCTTAAGATATAGAAGAAGAAGAAGTATAGGATAGTCAGAATAGGTCAATCAGTACAGGACAGTCAGAATAGATCAATCAGTAAAGGACAGTCAGAATAGGTCAATCAGTATAGGACAGTCAGAATAGATCAATCAGTATAGGACAGTCAGAATAGGTCAATCTGTATAGGACAGTCAGAATAGGTCAAGCAGTATAGGACAGTCAGTATAGTTCAATCACTATAGGACAGTTAGTATAGGTCAATCAGTAAGGACAGTCAGTATAGGTCAATTAGCCAATATATGACAGGCAGCCTATATAGGACAGCCATCCTAAATCGGACAGCCAGCCCATTGACAGTCAATACTTTTATGACAGCCATTATAAAACATCAGTCATTGTGGGACAACTCTTTTGGCCATCAGAGCTGCAGGTTTATATCGTCAGCATCTGTGTATCGACTCTGATAACCTGGCTTTGTTGAACACGATTACACTATTGAAGTACTTACTGGCATAATTGTCTCGATTCTGATAACCTTGCTTTGTTAAACGTGATCACACCATTGAATACAGTACTCATTCTATTTTCATGTACCCGCGGGTGAGCTGGATTAGGCCATGAAAGTGGACAGTGGTTGAGACTTGAATGAATGAGATACAAGGACTTAAAAAATAACTATTTTGATTAGCACATTCCACAAAGAATGGACCACTTGTAATTTATTTGAAATCCTTTGACTTCGATTCTAACCGAAAAGAGATTAAAAGTAAGCAAGAACATAAATGTGTCCAATGAGCCAGACGATTTTGTCCTAGAAATGTTTCATCTTTTTCATGAACTGTCGGTTTAAGGCTTTTAAAATGTGTTAGTGCCTAAAACCTTAGCTGATAGGCGATTTTAGTCATTTATAGTAGGCAATTTTAGTCACTTATAGTAGGCCTATTTAGTTATTTATAGTAGGCCATTTTAGTCATTTATTAGTAGGCCATTTTAGTCATTTATAACCCAAGGGCTGTCCATTAATGACGTCATCAAAATAGGGAGAGGGAGTTGTAAAATATCAGACAATTGTCGACAAGGGGGCGGGGGGGGGGCGGGGGAATTAAACAGAGAATGACGTGAAGAAATTTGTTTTACTTAACATAATGATTTATAAATAAATAACAGGGGTGTGGGGATAAACATAATTGTTGACATATTTATGACGCGTTGCCCACTACATAATTAATGAACGGCTCACTACATAACTAATTGACTGCCCAACTACATAATTAATGGACGGCCCACTACATAACTAATTGACTGCCCAACTACATAATTAATGGACGGCCCACTACATAACTAATTGACCGCCCAACTACATAATTAAAGGACGGCCCACTACAT